AACACAGATAGACATTCCTCTGGTATTCCCTGCTTTTAGCCACGATCCATCTAACATCAGCTACAATATCTCTAGTACCATGACCCCTTCTAAACCCATCCTGGACTTCTGGTAGTTCTCTGTTGATGTGCTGTTCCAGTCGTTTTTGGACAATTTTCAGTAAAATCTTGCTTGCATGTGAAATCAGTGAGATTCTGTTGGGTCACCTTTCTTTGGGATAGGAACAAATATCGATCTCTTCCAGTCAGTACCTACCTAGAGAAGGTTATTCTTTATGATGTTGTCAAGGCTGAAGATGGCATTTAGGACAGATGGGTGTGTGGCTTAGGGCGCTCTAATGATCCTAAGTGAGATGCCACACCCCCAGATTCTATCCTGTGCTTTGGGACTCATTAACGGTTGTGTGTGTAGCTTCTCAATTAGGCCACCAGAGGGCACGAGAGGCTCAGATTTGAGGCCTGAGACCTTCTCTCCCCAAAGTGGCTGTAAGGGAAGGTGGCTACAGCATTGGCTGCCACCCAGGATGTTCTATGCTATACTTTTGCCCTATGGATCTTTGTCTCTGAGAGGAACACACTCTGCAAGTCACTCTAGTGATAGTCAGGTCGTTATCCAGGGCCTCACTTTTCCCTTCTTTATGGTCCTTGTGGAAGTCCCCGCGTGCCCTGCAGCATTTTCTGCAGGTGGACCCCAGTGACAGCAAGAGAGCCCGCCATCACAGGGCACTGTGTAGTTGGGTGACTTCCCTACAGGTACAGAGGAGGCCCAGTGCAGCCTGTAGGGGGATGCCAGCCCCTGAGCCAGGCAGTGAGGAAACCAGAGCCCCGGTCCCCGGTCCGTGTGCCAGTCACACAGATATTGCCTTCATTCCTCTGGACACAGGCCCTCCCAGGATAGGCTTAATGGGCGCCCACAGGAAGTCAGGGAGGCTGATCCTAGGACATGCAGGAAGAGCAAGTTTGCCAGTGTTGGAAAGTCAGAAAAGGCTATGCAGGCAGCAGGAGGAGCACCTGCAGAGGCTGAAAGGCAAGAGGCACCTCTGTCCCAGGTGCACCCAGGCCCGTGGGTACAGACAGCATACGTGGCGCTGTGGCCTGAACCCACCTCATGCAGGAAGAGATGTACAGAAACTGGGGAGAGCTAGCCCAAGGCAATTATTCGCCGCCTAGATTTGGATGAAGGGCCCAGAAATATGAGCCTGAGGGTCTTGGTGACTTGTAGGGGAGAAGGTGTTTTGTGTATGGCACCATCTGTATGACCATCCCAGGAACAGATGGAAGAACCCCCTCTCCAAAAAAGAAAAAAAAAACAAAACCCCAGACAAGTCTGGTGGGTGCTGCCACTGCACTTAGACACATCTGTGCATGTCTCAACATGTGGACACATCTGTGTGAAACACGTGTGACTCCTCCCCACCCACATGGTTAGAGGGGCTTGGCGGGCTGGGGCCAGGGAGAGGAAGGACCAAACAGGGCCCTTGGCTTCTGTCTGGGGAAGAGTTTGAACCAAACTGAGAGGGTCTCTGACTGCTGAACAGATGGGGGTCTCCATGGAGGGGCCCCGCGGAAGCACACGGTGCTTTTGTGTTGGGGAAACATGAAGCTGTGGAGGGAGAGGAGGTGGAAAAGGAGACGTCGGGTGAGGGGAGAGTCAGGTTGTTCAGTATGTGAGCATCGGGAGCCTGCTTTTCAGCCTAGCAGCCATCACGGCAGGAGCTGGGATGCATCATTGCTCCAGGCCTCAGTACTGGTCCCAAGAGAAGGGGGTCATCATGGAACCTGCCCCCTTGGGGCTGTGAGGATTCAATGTGTCAGTTAGATGCAGAGCAGGGCCCACTGACATGAATGTGGGCCAATTATCTGGTGGCTGTGTGACCCTAAGCAAATTACTTCACCTCTCTGAGCCTCATTTTACTCATTTGTCAAAAGGGTTAAAACTCATCCTTGCCCTGAGTGGTGCTCTGTGTACTCATCATAGTGCTCACGGACAGAGCTGGGCCTCACAGACGGAGCTGGGGCTCACGAACAGAGCTGGGGCTCACGAACGGAGCTGGGGCTCACGAACGGAGCTGGGGCTCACAAACGGAGCTGGGGCTCACGAACGGAGCTGGGGCTCACTAAATGAGCTGGGGCTCATAGATGGAGCTGGGGCTCATGGACGTAGCTGGGACTCATAGATGGAGCTGAAGCTCATGAATGGAACCAGTGCTCACAGATGGAGCTGGGGCTCATGGACGGAGCTGGGGCTCACGGATGTAGCTGGGGCTCATAGATGGAGCTGAGGCTCATGGATGGAGCTGATGCTCATGAATGGAACAAGTATTCACAGATAGAGCTGGGGCCCATGGAAGGAGCTAGGGCCCACTGATGCAGCCGGTGCTCACGGAAGGACTGGAGCTCATAGACAATGCTCATGGATAGAGGTGGTGCTCACGAATGGAGCCGGGCTTACAAGTGGAGCTGGTACTCATGGATGGAGATAGGGCTCATAGGTGGAGCTGGGGCTTATGGATGGAGATAGGGCTCATGGGTTTATCTGGGCCTCACAGATGGAGCCGATGCTCATGGAAGGAGCTAGGTTGGTGTCACAGTGGTGCCTGATCCCGTCCAGCAGGAAATGCTGGAGAGGAGCCGCCATGACGCCACTGTTCCAGCTCCACCGAGAAGGGCTGAAACCTGTGTTTCCGCGTCGCCTGACAAGACTCTGGAAAATAACATGTTATTCCCGCCGCCGCCTCACTGCGCCCATGCAGTTTTCACAGTAGGCAGAAGGTCCCTCTGTTATTTCCACAGCGCTTAAGTCTCCCTGCGCACTGAGCGGTCGGGAAGCAGGAGGACACTGCCGCCATTTCTCTCCAGGGAGCGAGGGGCCAGTGCTGCTGGCAGAGGCCTGTGCTCCCCTTGGCCCTCACTGTCATTGTCTCAGATAATGCTCATGTCTCAGTGGGGTGTCCCCATTTTACAGCTGAGGACAGAGTGTGCTCTGTGGGGCAGAGAGTGGGGTTACCTGGCCTGTGCTGGCTCTGCCACACTGTGTGCCTTTGGGTCTGTCCATTTCCTCTTCTGGGCCTCAGTTTCCCTGTCTGTGAAGAGAGGTGCAAAGATGCAAAGGGCTTCAGTGATCACCTGATTTCATCTTCCACCCCCACTGAGCCATGTAGAGGGAAACTGAGGCTCAGAAAACCCGCCCTCTTCTCTACTGCTGTTGAGTTGATTGCCACTTGTGAAGACTCTGTAAGAGAAAATAGACACGCCTCAGCATTTCCAAGGCTGGCAATCTTCAAGGAAGCAGACTGCGACTTTGTTCTCCCTCAGATTGGTCCAGAGTGGTCGGTGGGTTTGAACCACTGACCCTTAGGTGAACAGCCGAGTGCTTTAGTTACAGTGCAACCAGGGCACCTTCAGAGAAGCAATAGAATCCCAATTCTATGATTGTGGGGCCCATCCCTGAAGTGACCCGTGTCCTCTAGGCCAGAGCAGGGCGGTGGCCAAGCCCAGCAGGTAGTGCTAGGCATGTGAGCGGCCAGAGAAGGAGCAGAGCTGGGCCTCTCACCGTGGATGATTGCTCACAGCTAGTGAAGAAAACTGCGATGCCCAATAGAAAATTGCTCACAGGACCCACCTCAAGTGGTGCCCAGGGCACTTGTCACACCTACTATATCCTGATGTGCCTCTGCCCAAGGGTACAAAATGGGAGTGTGCATGTTCCCTGCACACACATGTCCCCGTACACATACACCCCTATGCACCTCCCGTGTGTGTGCAGAGACACCCCAGCACATTCCTACTCTCTGCCCTACTCTGCCACTGTGCACATGCTACACTTGGCCATATGTTTACGTACATGTGCCCGACATGCCTACCTCGGTGTCCACACAGGTCTTCTTACCACATTCCCACACACGCACTCACACATGACATTTCACAGCTCAACACACTGGACCACTAGGCACCTCGCCTACACATGTGACATGACTGTATACATAAGAAGTTCTGGGTTCAAATCCTGACTGTACCTGTGGGATAAGACCAGGTTACTCACCTTCTCAGAGAAAGCTATCTTGCCTGTGCTCCCAGAGGAGGGGCCAGGCTCTCTCCATGAACAGATGAATGAAAGCACTGTCTGTGTGGCTGGCACAGGGACTGAGGCCCCAGTCCCCTCACTGCTTGGCTCAGGGCCTGATATTTTACTCTCAGTAAAATGGGCCAGTAATAGATGCCCTCCACTGAAAACCGTGAGGCTGGACAAGAGATCCAGGTGTGAGGCACCTTGTGGCCAGGCCTGAGTGGCCCTCAGGATGCTGTGCGCACCCCTCACCCGCAACTCCCTCCTGTGACTGAGTTCTCTGTTCTGTGTTTCAGGGAAATGATCAGGTCCGGTTTGAGCTCACCTGCTACTCGCTGGCCCCACAGATTAAGGTAAGATGTTGTTCTTCCCCTCATTGGGTGATTCTAGGAGGTTCTAGAGGACAACATCAGTGTATGCCAAAAGCTCTCATCTCTGGGATTTTAAGATGGCATTGAGAATACCTGGGAAGATCACATCTGGGTAAGCTGCCTTTACTCACACATGCTGAGGAGAACACCATTCCCAGTGTGATGGTTCAGCTGTTTGGGGGTCTTGGGCACTGAACAGTGGGAGAACACTGCTGCCCTTCAGCAATACCCTTGATTTCCCCAGATGCAGACTCCTTGGTGCAGGTCAGTAAAGTTCCTGGCCAAGGTCAGACTGATTTCTGGACTACTCATACCCTTTCCTCCATTGCCTGGTTTCATCCAGGCTGCCTGTGTCCTTATTCCCAGTATCTCTGACCCTTTCCTGAGGTGAGATTAACCAGGATCATAGGGAGTGAGAGCCCATTCAGTACTGTCTACTGACAACTAATCTTTTCTGCCCCTACCATCCTATCCTTGGGTTTCTTTCTACCTGTGTCCATTCACCTGTCCACCCATTATCCATCCGTCATCATGCATATACATCTGTTCATCTTCCTATCTATCCGTCCATCTATCCATTCTACCCCGTTCATCCATCCATCCACCCAGCCAGCCGGCAGCTACATACATTAGTCTGTCCATAGATCTATTCTGCTTCATCCATCCATCCATCCATCCATCCATCCATCCATCCATCCAGTATTGACTGGGTGCCTCAGGCCCAGTGACAGGGTACAACCAAGAAGGCAATATAGTTCCCGATCTAGATCAGTACTGAGCGATAGGAACAGAAAGCAGGTGCAATAGTTTCCGATCTAGATCAGTACTGAGCGATAGGAACAGAAAGCAGGTACAAAAATAAGCCCAGAAACAGTGTAACATTTCAACTCATTACATTAATAAATGTATATAGGAACAAACAGATGACATTTATTTTAATAATGTACTAATGTAATACATCTAAAACATCATTCCACACGCAGTGAATATAAAATAGTCCTTTGTGAGAAATTTTGCATTAAATGTCCCTTTTTGCACTAAATCTTGGGAATCTGGTGTGTCTTTGACCCTTGCAGCATGTCTCCATCAGGACTCGTTACATTTCACAGTCTCAGTGGCCACATAGACTGACCATGGTGGACACAGGCCTGACGTGCCAGCTCCTCTGAGGCATAGCAGGCCACTTTGGGCCAGAGCTAAGATCCTGCACCCCAAAGGGCTTTAATTTTTTTTTCTTTTCCCTTTTAAATGAACCGTCTTTCTCTGCCCTTTAACCAACCGGCTGCTGTGGGGGGAGGGGAGTGGCCTGGAGGTGAGCAATAATGAGCTCTAATGAGCTGTTTTGACCCCAAACGCCAGGCTGTGAGAAGCCCTGGACAGTAGCCGCTTGTTGACTTGCTACAGGCGGGCATCAGGGGCCCTTCCCCCAGTTCCCACAGCAGCTTTGGGGGCCAGGGTGTCCGATTTCTGGGCCTTTGTCTGAGGAGGCCAAGCTCAGGGACTGAGATGGGGCCATTGGCAGTTCCCAGTGTGGAGCTTGGGCCAGCAACTGCCCATTTCAGGCTTGGGAAGGTGGGAGAGAAATTGACCCTTCTGTGGTATCACTCACCCTGGTGAATGCCACAGCCCCAAAATCAAACCAGTTTCTCCATTTCTGACCTCCCCCTCCACTGAAGTTGTTGGCAAAGGTTTGGTGAGCTTCAGGGAAGAGGGATGCTGTCCCCTCAGGGAATTGTTCCTGCATCCTGAAGTTCCCATGTGGAATGAGACAAGTCTCCGTTTGGGTGTGGACTCCTGCCACTACCTAGAGTAGCTGTGAGGTGCAAGAAGAATAAGAGCTAGAGAAGTGAGGGGTCTCTGGGCCCCAATGTTGGGGAGCAGGACTGGCCTGGGAGGTGGCAGCTCCCTAGACTCTTAGTCACCAGCACGTGAGAGTCCTAGTCCTTCATTCAAGAGCATTGGGCAGGACCTTGAGACACATCCATTTTAAACTTTCACATCCTGGTTGAGCACAGAGTGCAGAGACCCACCTGGAAACACACTACCATTCTGCCCTGGTTCTGGGCCTCTCCACAGTCATCCCTCTGTACCCCTTTCCTGCTTAATGGGGCCCTCTTTCTCTATACCCCACTCCCAACGCCACCCGTGGTCTGCATCATCTCTAAAGTCACAGCAGGAGACCTCCAGTGGCCGGCCACTGGAGCTTCCCGCCTCTTCCAGAGGCCAGCTCGGCCGTCCCAGGGCCCAGAGAAGCCTGCACCTGGGCCTCCAACCTAACTCCTTGTTCTGTGCCCAGGTGATCGCCCCCTGGAGGATGCCGGAGTTCTACAACCGGTTCAAGGGCCGCAATGATCTGATGGAGTATGCGAAGGTATGGCTGAGTGACACAGTGACTATCCCTGCCCACTGCCCGCTCCTTCCACCTCCCTGCTCAGGGTTGTCTCACCAAGGCCAAGTCCAGGACAGATGTCATGTGACAGCAGGCTAAGCCCCTGTCCCCACCACCTCAGTGGCACCTGTTGTCTCCCTGGGTGAGTCCCTCAGAGGTGTGGTCATCTGCTTGATCCTTGGCCTGCATCGGTCAGCTCCGAGGGAAGTCCTCAGTCTCTGAGGAAATGGAGACCAGAGCCCTGCTCCCCACCTCTGCCGCGTGTCACTCAGGTGGGGGGACAGCCGGGGGAGTGTGAGAGGCTGTTCTCTGCATAGGACCTCAATTCCCTGGCGGCTAATTGTCCCCAGCCCTCTCCCGGGAACAGGTAGGCACTCCAAGGGGCCGTGGAAGACAAAGTCTTTTGTCATAGCAGCCCTTTTGAAGTACAAGTTGCAATAAAACATATTAGAAGTTTTGCATCAAGATCCTTAGCCGCTCTCCAGGGTACCTTTCTTTTTAGCGACTCCATGGCAGCTCTTGACAAACAGCCTCAATCAATCAGACGGAGGAAAAAGCAAGTCGGTGCACACACCAGAAAATTGCTCAGGTTTTTAAATAGCAGTCACCAGGGCTGGCTGTGAGCTCTTGCCATAGCCAAGGTGCCGCGTGGCAGGGGACGTGGCGGGGACACAGCCCGGCCCCTGCCGCCAGCATCCCATTAAGGCCTGGAGAGCAGGGAGGAAAGATCTTCTCCACCATCTGTTGTTTTATTATTAAGAGGGGAGTTTACAAGAGCAAGCCCATATGTTGCCAAACAAATTGTCAAATAGCAGAGCTATTAAGAGAGCCGAGGTTGGCGAGTAGACCCCCCACACACACCCCGCCTCATCTCCTTGATATGAATATGAAGTGTGTTTCATCTTAAAGGATAATAACTTGGAGCCCCTTCCCCATCTATTTGCTCCTGTCCTGAATCGTAGTTAAAGAGAGGAACAGGGCTAACTAATAGGTTCAGTGTTGATAGTCTCTAAACAAAAACAGCTGATCTTTCTGGAAAGAATTCATTTTCACAGTGTTGTCGCTGTCCTTCCCAGATTTGCAGAAAGGCCCTTTGCTCAGCTCCTATCCCAGATAACCTTTACATGAGGAAAGTTTGCCAAGTAGTCTTATTCTCTTGGCCTCTTCTCTCCTTCTCTTTCCTGTCTCTTTTTCTCGCTACCTCTCTGTCCCACACACGCACACACACTGCTCTCTGGAGAATGTGAACACATTCTGGAAGGGAAGCTGTGTGTCTGCACCAAGCAAATGACCAGCATAGCTGAGCAGTGGTGAGGCTTTGTCTAAATTCAGAGCCAGTCAGGGTCTGAGCCAACCGAGACAAAAATCAATGGAGCTTTAAAGACCTCTGCTTTCACCACCTGTAAGCAACCAAGACCGAGAGGTGCCCCATGAAACGTGTATTAAGAAACCATACATTGGCTTCACTTTCCATCTCCCCATAAATTGTCCAAGGGAAGAACGGGCGCAGCGCATCCTTGTGGCTGGCATCACAGATAATTTTAAGAGAAACAGGCTACGATATGAAGTGGGAGCTGACAAGTGGGCGGGGCCATATGCAGAAGGCTTTATTTTCTGGCCTCGGTTAGTTTGTTGGGAGGCATTCAGAGCAGAGAGGGGCTGGGGAACAAATCTCTTTGGTCTTGGAATCATGAGTTAGAATTGGTGTATAGCTGACCCTCCAGTGGGTTTTCAGAGGCTGTAAATAGCGTGGGAGGAGATACCTCATCTTGCTCCGGTGGAGCATCTGGGAGATTTGAACCGAGTGCTTTTGGGTTAGCAGCGCAGCTCCTTACCACTAGGCCACCACACACCTACAATCCAAAGGCCCAGAGAACACTAGCTTCTGTTGTCAGCATACTCGTCTGCACACCTGGCCAGCTCTGCCCACAGAGAGCAGGGACGAACTTTTTGCCCTCCTATGAGGCGCCAACATGGAGCAGCCTCTGAGCATAGTGTGATGGCCTCGTTCGCCTGTGTAGCTCGCGGGACAGTATGCACATTCTGGGGTTTCCTTGTTTATTCCTCTCTCTTTCTTGAAGTAAGTCTCCTACTAAAGCTTAAGGGGAGAAAAATTAGAAAGAATTAGATTGTAGCCCAATTTATTAAAATAAAAATATTAAAGTGGTGATGAAGGCAGCACAACAGCTCCTGGAGGAAACTTCAAATCTAAGAGTGGAGGGAGAGGAGAGTTGGGTTGGGTCGGTGGGGACCACCAGGGTCTCAAGGAGACTTGATGGCCAGCTCCTCAGCTAGACCAGTTAGCTACTGTTGTCCTGATAAAGAATCTTCAGGTGGTATGGACAGTTAAGCACCTCATCACTCACTAACCAAAAGGTTGGTGATTTGAATCCACCTGCAGATGCCTCTTGAGTTCTGTGAGGGGACTCCATTCCTGAGGGAAGCCATACGCATCCAAGGCCACCCTCTCCACTGGGTGTTAGTGAGGGTAGCCCCGGTTTCCAAGGCAACAAGGCTCATCCTTCCCCCAAAAGACAGCCTTTGGAGACCAAGGACTTGAGGTGGGTAGGGTTTCTCCTTTAACAATGGATTGACTCATCTGGGAAGCAAAACCATCAGCACCGGAGTGTGATAAAGATGAAAAGGTGGCCCCTCCTGGGCCATTGTCTTTTCAGGGTTTGGGGAGTGGTGTGTGTGGCTCTTGTTCTGGGCCGGGATCTGCTGATCACAGGCAGTAAGCAGGTGCCATGAGCTAGAAGCTCTCATTTCGTTCTTTCTCTGGGGATGCCTTCAGTGACTCTGCTCCTGGTGGCAGACACCTTGGTCTGTCCTGGCTGTTTTTGTGGGGGTTTGATCTATATCCCAGCTCACAAAGTGGGTGGTAAGGATCCAGGAGCTGGAGCTGGGAAGAGGAGAAGGAACCTTCAACATCAGTCATCCAGCATGAGCCCTTGCGGTTTCTGTGTGGTCATAGCTAGTGATGAGGCCCTCACTCCCTCACCAGTCCAGTGGTCAGAGCGCTGGGGATGCCAGGAGGTAGTCTAGGTTCTTGCCTGAATGAGACCAATGTTTGGGCTTGTGCTTGACCTTAGGGGTGGGGGTAGGGGAAAGCATCTCTTGTCAGATTCACCCTATGTGCTTCTTTCCCACAGCAACACGGAATCCCCATCCCGGTCACCCCCAAGAGCCCATGGAGCATGGACGAGAACCTCATGCATATCAGGTAAGAGGCTCTGCCCACCTCACAGTGGTGCTCCGTCCGCTGAGCCAAGCCAGCCTTGGTGAACATCTGATGGCAGTGCTCCCACCACCATGATGTGACTGTGGAGTCCCTGCCCTTGTGGAACCTCAGAAAAGGAAGGCATGGGCCCACCACTCAATTCATTGTATCTGGCTCTAATTGTCATGGAGGATGGTACTACATGTAGGAGAAAGATCTATCCTTGCTGGGAGGTATCAAGGAGGACTTCTCTGAGGAAGGGGCATTTGAGCTAAATCTTCAAGGTTGGAAAGGTGCCCACCAGGCTGTGAGAAAGATCAGTGAAGGCAAAAAGAACAGCAGCTGTGACGGTCTCATGGCCTTATTGGCACCTGGGAGAAGAGGGCCTCCTCACCCCTACAACAATGAGGAAATGCTTTGACCTTTTACTTGAACCCATAGCTCCCATGGCCAACTAGGATGGGCCCAGAATGTTCTAAGCAGGACTAATTGGAGTGACTTTGGGAGAGAAGAAATGGTAGCACAATTAAGGGTGTCTCTTCCCTACTGACTCTCTTTTTCTTCTACTCCTGCAGCTATGAGGCTGGAATCCTGGAGAACCCCAAGGTAATCCCCCATTCCCTCCACGCTGCGTGTACCCTGGTAGCCCTGCTCTATGCCTGTGCTGTCAGATGCATTTGTAGCTTAATTTGAAATTTCACAGGGGGCCGGGTCTGAGGCTGGGGCCAAGCCCTGCCTGTGTTCCCCACCACTCCCTGCTCAGCCTCCCTTCGCCTGCCCTTTCCAATGCTGAGTTTTAAGACAGTACCCTCCCCCCCCCATTCTTTTTCTAATTGCTGTTGGGATGAATAGGGCAAGGGAATATTTCAGGGCAGAATAGAGAGAGAGTCATTGTGAGACAATGAAGAAGCAATTAGGCAGATGAAACACTTTGGGGAGGTGCCCAGCCTATGCCCACCAGCCCTCGGCAGCAGATTCTGATGGGGGAGGGAGGTGGCACAGCTCAGAGCTTCGGGACTCATTTGTCTGGGGCTCTGCCCCACGCCCAAGGCAGCCTGCCCTGAGCCTCATCCCAGGCTCCCAGATCAGCACAGCCAGGCCTTGTTTAGCGTTTAGGGTTTCTCTCCCCAGGGGATTTCCCCTTTGTATCTCCTCTGCCCACCAAGGGAGGTGGGGTGGGGAGCAGGGGCAACATGTCTCATGGGAAGAGAGAAATCTCTTTGTCCCTGAGGGAGTGTCTTCCCTGGCTCGGCCCCATACCAGTGATGGCTGATTTGGGATTGGGTGACTGCATTTCTGGAGTTAGGGAAGAAGTATACTGGGGAGGGAGCTCGGGGTGCTGGGCCTGGCGCACCCAGAAGGCAGCTGGAGGAAGGATGCTGAGTGTTTTGAGTGAGGGCAGTGACAGCTTGCTCCTGGTGTATGAGTATCCTCGCTTCTGAGTGACAAAACTAGGCCCAGAGAAGGGACTCTCTAAGTGGACCAGCTACTCATCAGGGAAGCGAGACAGTACCCAGGCCACCCCATCGCAGGGAGTTGTGATCCTGCCACTGGTTCCCCCACTGCCCACAGCCCCAGAGGGGCGTGTTACCCCCCCTCCCCGCCTGCTCATCAGCTCTGCCCAGCCGTGTCACTCAGGAGCGCCTGCACCCTGCCCCCTGGGGACTGATGGGTCTCACGGGGCTGCTGCCTGCTGGCCACAAGTTTTTCCAGTTCATGCTCTGCTGACCCCACAACACTCAGGCCAGCCACCCCTAATTATCCAGTCATTCAGCACCAAGGGGGGTGGGGACGGTTGATCGGCATAGAGCAACTTCGTAGCAGGGTGTCCTCCCAGCCCCAAACATTCTGGGAGCCTTAGACATCCCCTCTCTCAGGAGCTGTGGCCCCTCTCTGCACTGAGAACAGACCCCCTCAGGACCTGGGGCACAAAGCTGAGGCCAGGGCTGACACTAACCTTGGGCAGCACTCAGAGGCTGTGGCTTCATGATACCTTTGTGACCACAGGCAGGTCCTTTCCCCTCTTGAGCCTCCTGTTCCAGGAGGGTGTTGAGCACTTAAGTGCATGCCAGTGTCTGTCGTTATGGAAGGACTCTGTCACCCATACTAGTCTTGAGGTGAGGCAGGTGGGATGGATATGGAATTAATGCTCAAGTACTAGAGGCAGGAAACGTGGGCCTGAATCCCAGGGCTACTGCTTACTGCTGTGCAACCTTGGGCAAACTACTCACCCTCTCTGATCCTTGCTTCCCCATGCACAAGGTAGGAAAACCAGAGGACCGACCTCCCAGGCGGCTGAGGATGACCTGAATGTGTACTCAAAGTTCTCTGCCCGCGGCTCAGAGCAAGATCTCTTGGAGCCTGAGGTCCTACCCTCCGAGGCCAGTTAAGGTTTCTTAGGGGGAAGAGGGCCCCTCAGGTACTCCTCTCATCTCTCCAGGAGAAATTGTGCTATGTTGGGTAGCATAGAAACTTGTTCCTATGTAGAAGCAAAGTGGGTCCAGCCACTCCAACCGTGGCTTTCCAGACTGCCCGATTGGGCAGGGACTCTGCTGGCCTCTAGTTAGCCTGCCCGGGGCTCCTCGTTGGGTCCAAATCTCAGATCATCCTAGCCATTTCTGGAGCCCCTGTTCTCTGATGGTCAGCTCTCACACCCCAGGAGTGAGGAGGCAGCATCCGGGGCCGAGTGCCTCTCACCCCCCCCCCCCCCACATGGGCGAAGCACCCGCCTGAGCAGCCCTGGCCCCCTGGGGAGGAGCTCAGGGAGACAGACCATAAGGGAAACAGGGCCCCCCGCCCCCTCCAAAAAAAAAATCCCTGAGACCTACCGAAGGGAGGGTTTGAAGGCAGATGGCTGGGCCATTTTCTGCCTCCGTGAGGGCTGATTGAAGGGCAATGAGGCAGCTAATGCGAAGAAAGATAGAAATTTACTTGCTTTAACTTCATACGGCCCACAGTGAAAGAGTTCATTCAGTTGCCGGCCCCTCCATATCTGATGGATGAATAAACCATTTGCAGCATCGATCATGCCTCTACATCATGGTTTAGTTCATGGGCCATTTGCTTCCAATTTCTTCTTCTCGGGCCCTGTTTCATGCTTTCTTTCGCCCTTTCTCCTCACCCCCAACTCTCTCTCTCTCTCTCTCTTTTTCTTCACTCTCTTCCCTCTCCCCGCCCCCCCTTCAACCAAAGATGACATTGGAAGTGAGCCCTCCCGCTGGGATGGATAAATAGATGGCATTGATACTCAGCAACAAACTATTTGTCATTTGAACTGGGCTTTTAGGAGGGAGAGTAAAAAGAAGGCAGGCACCCGAGCCCACCTCAGAATGCAAAGCAAATGTCGTTTTATTTCTATTTAGTTATTTTATTTAATCGTTGCTGTCAGGTGCCTGCCAGGGTGCAGGAAGCCCCTCACCAGCTGTTTCCGACTTCCACCATGGAGTCTGGGACTTGTACCTTCCAAAGTCTGCCCACTTCCTCCCAAAGGCAAACCTCCTTAGGTCCTCACTTTTGCTTGAGGGTAAAGCCAGTGACAATGGATGGAAGGACTCATCCTGAAGTCGGCTTAAAACCAAGCACTAGTTCAGCTGTGTTCCAAAAATGTCTCTTTCAAGCTTTGCGTTCTTTTAAAACTATCCCTATGGGATCATACTGACCATGACAACTTGAAAGATTAGATGGGAACCTTAGCGAAATTTATGCTAATGAGGAAGGAACAGGTCCATAAAGGAGGAGAGCAGGGTTGTACAACTTAGAGAACATAATCCATGTCCCTAAATTGCACACCTGGAAACTGTTGAGTTGTATGCTTTGCTGTGTGGATTCTCAACATCAAAAGCAATACAGATGAGAGGGGGCAAGTATGGCAAGGAAAAAAAGTGCCAAGCCCACCACCGAGAATGACAGGAAGGCACAGAGCAGGTGTGTGTGTGTGTGTGTGGGGGGGGGGGGACTGCCTTCATTTTACTGTTCTGCCCTCCGACTATTCTAGTTAGGGGCCCGATGGAGACCCTTGACTGAGTAAACCTGGGCTGCAGGACCCCTGGGGGAGTTGAAGGCAGGCAGGGAGGAGGCAGTAGAGTCTTGTTCACCAGATGTCTAGTAGTAGTCCCTAGCCTTATTCATATTGCCTTTGAAAATGGGTTTTCAGGCCTGCCTGTGCCAAGAGGGAGTTGTCAAGGCCTGGGAGTTGCTGGGGGTGTCTCGAGTCCCATCATCCATGGCTGATGGTGCTGACTCTCTGGCCCCACCTGTTGCACTGCCTCTCAGGCCCCATTACAGCAGTGGGGAAGAGCACAGTGTGGTGGAGGGGCCCTTTGAGGGGGATGAATTAGACAAGCTGTGTCTCAGGTTTTGGCTTCACATCAGTTTGTTACAGGCATCACACCCTTCTATCCTTGGGTCTCTGCTTAACACTGGTAAGAGCTCTTGTTTCTCCTCATGGAAGGAAACCAAAGCAAAGATTCTGGTCCTGGATCACACAGCCTTTGGGGACAGTGGGGCACTGTCATAGGCTCAGGACAGACACAGAGCTCAGAGGATCAACTGCCCCAGTTTGCCCAGGACTGAAAGGCTCACGGGGTTTCCCTGGTCTTCTGAGATGGTTGGTCAGCCTAGTCGGTCTGACAGCCAAAGTGACTACAGGTGAGCCATTGGAGGCCCTTCTGAAGGCCTCACCCCTTGCTGGGTGAGGGGGCCTCCCTAGAGCGGTGACCCACTTTGGGACATGAGACAGTCTGTGCCAGGCCTTCCCTTGCATCTTAGGTATGTCTCATATCCATATCTCACAAGAGCATAACAGCTGTCATTCATTTGCATTTTAAGATGGCCAAGGCCGTTGTGACTCTCCCCATTTTACAGGTGAGAAAACTGAGATTCAAGGAGGCAGAGTATCTTACCCAGACCTTGTGCCGGGTCTGAGGTCCTAACTCAGCTTTGGGGGGGATCCTTTTCCATCCTTCTAAAATTGACCTGATGTGTTTTGAGGGCCATGTGGATCTCCTGCCTTATACTGGGGGATCGCACAGAGAACAAGTAGACGTGGCCCTCCCAGAATTCACGGTTGCAGCTACAGTCACTTCTGCTCATCCACCATCTGCTCCTCTGGATGGGGTGACACTGGTAGGCCAAACAGGACAGCCAAGAGCTTAACAGAGACTGTAGATAGAAAGTGACAGGCAAATGTTTGAAAGGACTTGACCCGAAGATGCCAGACTCTGCCATGCCCAGGGTGTCAGGAGATGGGCAGGAGCAGCTGGACCATGGGTGCCCACAGGAAGGGCTGAGCAGTCAGACCTAAGGGGCCCTCGTCCCCACAGTGGCAAGTGTCCAAGCCACGGTCTGGGGGAGCCTCTGGAGCTGGGAGGGAATTTTGAGCGTCCCAGGCAGCAAATGCGCCTCCGCTGCTGCATCCAGAAGAGGCCCATTTTCCAACACGCCCAAGAGAAAATATACATAAAGGTTGATGTGTTTTCAAATGGGTTTTTGCTTCGCTCTTCTCTTTTCTGCCTGTGAGTATTAACCTCAAGGACCCCGAGGACGGCTCTGCTCGCCGGAGCACCTGCTGAGGTCACGCGTAGTCATTAGCTTTGCGGTCAGTGCAGAATAAACCCCAATTCCCGGCGCCTGCGAGGACGTGCAGGCCGGCTCCCAGGAAGCCCGCAGAATGCCGCCTCGCTCCTCCAAAGTCCCACTTTTTCCTGCCTGACTTGTTCCTCTGCTGCTATTCTACCTCCAGCTGTGGGGGCGTCGAAGAAAAAGATGAGATCAAGTTGAGGGGAAAAATTGTCTGATTTCTTGAGCCCTTTGTTTCCCAGGCCCCCGGCAAGCAGGGCTGGCTGGGGGCTGGGCTTGGGGGCCCTGCCGGACCTGCCAGCTGGCGGGGCTGTGCCAGCAGTTCCCTTGTTCTGGAATGGGGAAAGTGGAGCCAATTTGTGCCAGAGGTGGAACTGGGACTGGCATGGGCTTCATGGCTCCGGCACCCCATTCTCCAACTTCTCTGTCTTTTGTCAGAACCAAGCACCTCCAGGCCTCTACACAAAGACCCAGGACCCTGCCAAGGCCCCTAACACCCCCGACATCCTTGAGATCCAGTTCAAGAAAGGTATGTCCTCAAACTTGGGACACTGATGGTTGGGATTCCTAGCTCCTTCCCATCCCTGCCTGGGAGCCAGGGCACCTGACTGCCCTCTGTGTGCCTGAAAACCTGAGTTCAGGTAGAATATTCAGAGGAACCTCATTGCTCTTGGTCTGAGACTGTGGGATCCATGGAAATGTTCAGACCAAGGAAGAAGGCAGAGACCTCAAGTGGTTGCACACAAGGTTCAGAGAAGTACGTTCCAACCCCTGAAGGGACACTCTTGCCAGCCGTGGGGGTTGGAGACATCCTCCAGCCTTCCTAGGCCTCAGTTTACACACATGTAAACTAGCGATAAAATAGTGTTTGTTATTTTCATTTTCATAATTGGATAATCAGGTCTGACTGGGCAGCACCCAGCAACAGGGCTCTGGCACCAAGGAATTACTCACACCCAGCAAGTGGCGAGGGCTAGTGGTCCCAATAACCCCTCAGACCTTGCAACTAGAGCCTGGGTTGCTCCCACATTAGCTTCTCACCATCTCACCCCCAACTCTGGTTCCACAGCTGCATCCACTTCTCCTCCCCTGGGCAGGGATGGGCATCCCTGCTTCCTTGTCTTCACTGCTAGCCTGAGTGAGCCAGGTGGGAGGGACAGCCTGAGATGGCATCCCATCCTGCCCTGCAAGAAAGAAGGGATAGGAAGATGTGCCAGGGAACAGCAAGAGCAGCAGGTTCAGGCTCAGAGTGAGGGCTCAGTGAGTCAGGGGAGAGGGCCTTTTCAGGAGGCTGGAGACAGATTAGGAAGGCTTCCTGGAGGCGGTGATGCTAGATCTCGCCCTCAGGCTGGAAGAAAGCAGTGGGACTGGCCTGTCCACCTGCTGCAGCAGGGCAGAGGGAGAGAGGCTCCCCATGAGGCTAGAGGTTCTGAGAGAGCTCTCATGCTGGGGAGACCTTGCCAACTGACTTCCTTCTTCTGGGCCTACTCATCTGTAAAATGGGCTCATGGGCACCAACTCAATGTTCTGCAGAATGATGTCAGCTGCTGCTGAACCAGTCTCTACCTGCGGTAATCTCATGCCTAGTGGGGTGAAATGCTGCCCAGGCTCGGGACAGCCCATGGTCAGCTGTAGCTCAGACCCTAGTGGTCCATAGAGTGTTGAGGGCTGAGTTTTGGGAGGACACTGGGGCGGTTGTACTTGAGTGGTCTGTCTCTCCTGGGCCTTTCCCAAGGCCCTGGCCAAGCCAGGGACATCTTCCTCCCTGCTCGCCATCATCTTCTCACTCACTCACTGCCATCTAGTCAATTCTGACTCAAAGCAGCCCTGCATCGGGTTTCTGAGGCCATAAATCATAGTAGAAGGAGACCACCCATCTTTCTTGAGGATTCGAACTGCCTCCAAGGCCCACAGCCTTTTGGCCAGCAGTCGAGCATGCCACATTGTGTGCCACCAGAGCACCATCTGCTTTAACCCTGGAGTTCTTCACCACTCGGTCCCAAGGGATGTTGATCTGATGTCCCGAAAGACAGCTGCAGCCCCAAGGCCATCTGATGCCCACAGTGTCTGGCCCAGGCCGGCTTTGGTGGTTGTAGGCCCTTCTTGGGCACCACCTCTGAGGTGATGGGTGGGATAGGCCTAGGTGATACCCTGTCTTTCTCAGCAAGTATGCTCTGGCCCCAGGAGAGCTGTGGGGATGTCTGCAGAACAGAGGTAGTGGAGGGTCTCAGAGTCTCAGGCCCTCAGACCTCCTTCCTCCAGAAATGGGCAGCCCTCAGGCTGAGCCAGAGAAGGAACGTGATCCATTTTAATGATTTGGGGACTGTCTGGAGAGGAAAAAAAATAGACGGGAGGAGCCCTCTCCTGACAACTCCCCATTCATCTTCTAGTTAATTTATTTGAAGTTTTAATCTAATTATTAACTATTTTAAAGGCTAAGAGGCTTTCTCCGGCAGCAGCACCAACAATGTCCCTCCCCTCCCGGGCAGGCCCTATCCACGGCCCCAGTGAAGGCCCATAATAGGAACGGGGAGGGAGAGAAAGGAGAGGGGAGAGGCAGAGGGGTGGCGAGAGGGGCTTAAGGTTCATTATTGGGCAGACTTACATTTAATAGCAATTTACAACCAAGTTATAAAACCCCTGGAAATGGGGGTTAAGAATGGCGAGGCTGACAGCGCCTTGAGGGAAGCCCCTCCAAGCGGCGCCTGGCTAATAAAGACTCGAAAGGCGCTATTGAGCCGTGATTGGCACCCGATCGCTGGCTACATGGTAATGAGTCGGGCAGATGGGTGGGGGATTAGCCGCCAACTTTGAACAGCTTTTCTTTGTCACTGTTACAGCTCTCTTGTTAGCCCCCTAATACATTTATTGCTCATTTCACACCGCTAGAGAAAGTGCCCCTTGCTATTCAAAGTCAACCCCGAACCCACCCACCACCCCATAACCCCCCTTGACACAACCCTTCCCTCCCGAGCAGGGCCTGCCTCCCTCCTGCTACCCCAGCCCTGACATCTCAGGATTCACGGACACCTCTAACACCTCTGCCCGCTGGGGTGGCCACCTCACCCCATCAATCAGATGGCAGTGAGCGGGTCTGGGGTCCAGAGTCGTGGGCATGGGGTCTGCCTGACAGACGTGGTAGGGGGCTGTGTGTGTTTGTGAGTGAGTGTGTGTGCACACGAGAGCACGCCTAACCACACCTCGGCCAGGCGGCTCCCGAAGCTGGTGGGACAGAAGGTGCTCCTGGAGTAAGACAATGGTGGAGCGTGAAATTCAATTAGTTCAGGGCCTGGTTCCAATTTCACAGCCCCTAAATGCAAAAGGGGCAAAGAGAATGGGAAGGGTGGGGGAGAGCGTTTTTATTGCATTTTCCCTTTCATTCTGGGGGGCTTTCTCGCCCCTTCTCCCTCCCCAGCAGGCCTCACCCTGCACAGGGCTTTTCAAGGAGTCATTTGGAGTCCATATCTGTCACATCCATTTAAGGCGTCGCGGGTGGAGGGGCGAGGGCGGGGTGGCAGGCATGGGGCTCCTCTGCCAAGCTTCAGTCTGGAGACCCATTGCCCTCTCCCCCAACCCCAGGGGTCCCCGTGCAGGTGACAAACGTCAAGGATGGTACCACCCACCGCACATCCTTGGAGCTCTTCATGTACCTGAATGAAGTTGCGTGAGTATTCACAGTCCCTCCTGGCCTCATAGGAAACCTGGATGATGATTCCTGAGGCTTAAGTGCCCAGGAGGACAGGGACACCCCCTCTGCCTGTGTCCTTGAGGCAGCCTTGGCCATAGCCCCAAAGGGTCTCCCACAACAAGATGACTAGTCCTGGGTGGTCCTTGTTTCAATCCTTCAACCTTGGGAATCATTAACCCCAGAAAGTCACCTGTCCCTTGGAGATGGCTGGGTTGGAGCTTCCAGACCCTCATCTGGCTCAGAGAGACCCAGGGGTGGGAAGGAGGCGCAAATGAGAGATGGAACCAGACAGACTTATTAGAATTAAATAATTATCAGACAGAGGCCATGGGCAATTTGAATTCAATGTGCAACTCAGACAATCCATCTCGGGGCCTCAGTTTCCTCACCTGTTCAATGGGTGGTTGCACCAGGTGGCCTGTCTCTGATGTGCGGTAACTCTTGAGTCCTGAGATGGAGTCTATTCTTCTGCATGGGACACTGGGGGCATGGCCAGGCTCCCTTGTGACACTGCCCGCTGCTGCAGCTGGAGCCCTGCAGCCAGATGCATTGTGTCTGATGCCAACTCCATGATCGCACCGGGCCCAACTGACAGACAGTTCTCTTCCACAGTGGCAAGCATGGCGTGGGTCGCATTGACATTGTGGAGAACCGCTTCATTGGAATGAAGTCCCGAGGTAAGGGAACACTACTCTCAGTGACCCCAGAGGCCTCTGGGACCCCCATCCCATTCAGATGTTGCTACTCCCGTGCTGCATGCGTGACCCACCAGGCTTCATTTCCTTCCCATGTAGTAGGAATAATGAGCCCTTTAGCACTGACTTCCCAAGGGCTGGACCTCATCGTTGCTGGGAGGAGCCTAGGAACATCCCAGAGAGGCTCTAAGGAGATGGGAGGCCACAGGCCAGGCCTAGAGGTCAGGTTCTCTTGTGTCCCAGGCGGGCTGGCGAGGTTTGGAGGCGGACCGTGTAGGGCTGATTTCGTGGTCATTAAGGCTCATTGAGGAAGTTGGCCGGGCAAGGTGTCTGTCCTGCCAATGGTAGGCGCTGTGGGCTGCGTGAAGCCTAGAGGCCTGTCCCATGTCTCTGTCACAGTGTGGAATGATGCCACCCAGCCCTGTGTCCACCACTGGCCAGGTCTAGTAGGGACAGAAGGAGATGCCCCGGCTACTGTCTCTGACATCTTTATTCAGCTGGTTCAATGTGGTTACTTAACCACATAACTTGCCACTCTGGGACGCGGTTTCCCCTTCCACACAGGAGTATGTCTGGTTGCTGTGACTCTGCCAGTTTATAATAAAGCAACTCAGGCCTTAGGGGGCCTGACAGAGCAAGGGCAAGAATGCAGCTGTTTGTTCCCTGAATTGGGCACTTGAACTTTTTAGAGTTTGGAGACAGGGACCTCTGTTTTGGCTGATAATAAAATTGCTTTAGTCGATATCAATTTAGAAGAGAACCATCTAAAACCAGGTCAAGTTACGGTTGTGGCCCTTTGTCCTCCCGCATCTTTTTCCTCAGATTCTAAAATCCAAAGATGGTAATAATCCACAAAGTTCAGTTGCTACAAAAGGGCAGTGTTTGTCTAAAGGCAGGACGCTGGGGTTTGCCCCGATTGCCAAGTGACCTACTGCTCAGTTGTCACATCAGAACCTTGCTTTTCCCAAGTGGGACATGGAGGGGGTGGGAATTGGATCATTCCAGCTCTGACTTGTTTGGGGTTTGTGTTAGAAGGTGTGGGGTGGAGGGAAGGAAAGCACTGCTCTTCCTCTTCCTGTGGTTTGTGGGTTTTTTTTCCCTCCCTACTAATTGAAGCCCTCTTGGGAAGGCCTTGTCGAGAACAATATTACTAATTAGCTGCTCTCTTTTATCCTTGCTTACCTTTGTCTCTTACCCATATTAACATCTGATTGAGTGTCCCTTTGTCTAAACCTGCCCTTGGGAGGCAGCACAATGTAAGTCCTTCACAACAGAGCTGGGAGGGACCTTGGGGATCCTGCAGGCCAGCACCCTCATGTTACAGATGGGGAAACCAAGGCTCCTGGATGGGTGAGGACTTGCCCAAAATCACAGGATTGTCAGTGGCAGTGCAGGGACTGACAGACCTAGAGAGGGATGGCGTGGATGGCAGGGTGCTTGCGCTCTGGACAGGGACAGATCTGATTTAGACCCATGTATAACAACAGGGACTGACTGATGCAGTGGACAGGGACCCTGGTGGCATAGTGGTTAAAAGGGTTTGGACCCTAATCAAAGTGTGTGATTTGAATCCACTAGCCACTCCATGCTAGAAAAATGTGGCATATGGCTTCCCAAAACATAGCAGTCCTGGAAACACTATAGGAGAATCTCACTCTGTCTAACAGAGAATCTCACTCTGTCTAACAGGGTTGCTCTGAGTTGAGGGTTGACTTAATAGCAGTGAGTCATTTGGGGGGGTGTTTATTTTTGGTACAATGGAAACACTAAGCATTGGTTGACCTATAGGGAATGCCAGAAAAAAGGGGCAAAGGCACCTGTGCTCTCTGGATGGTGTCACTGGAGCTCAGAGGTGCTCTGTGTAACCCCTCTCTCATACCTTACCCCTGCCCAGGGCAGGCATCACTAATCAATTGTGGCACAATCCTTTGCATGTAGATGTGATCTCGGAGCTACAAGCAGTTACTGCCTAAATAAAGGTCAGGTTGGTATACACTGTTAATCATCTGCCTTCTCCTGTTGAAGAGCTGGGCTGGGCTGACATCCTGCTGTGATATCTAAGTGAAGAGTGAGCACGGAAGTGAATAGTGAGAAGGCCTCTTGTAGGAAGTGGGATTAGAACTGAGTCCACTGGTAGGATGTACAGGGGGTGGGGCAGAGCCATTCGGGGAGAGTGTTCGGTTAGCACAGTGGTGACCAAGTGCCCTGTTGAGGGTGGCGGATGGAGTAGAGTCCCTAGAGCCCTGGAAGAACCACACTGAGGAGCTGGTCACCATGATGAAGTGACCAGGGTCAGGCTTTAGTGTCAGACCTGAGTCCCAGTCTTGATTCCATCCCCCCTGAGAAGCAACTTAGCTTCCCTGAGCCGTAGCTTCTCCATCAGTGAAATGAGCTGTTGTGAGGATCAGATGTTGAGAGCGCTGGGCACTCAACAGATGGTACTTTGTCCAGAAATCATGTGTGTCTATGAGGGAAGTGTCCCTAAAAGCACAGAATTTAGTCCAAGTTGTCCTTTATTCTAGGAATGAAGTCATCAGAGGACTTCATGATGTGTAACTTTAGCCTCTTGATGATCCTTCTCCACAACTCCGCCTGTTCAAGAGGGGTCAGGTTAGATAATCTGCATCTGCCTCTGAAAGTTCAAATTCACTCATTCTCTTACCAGAAGTGAGGAGTGGGAAGAAAAAGTTCGTGTTCAGTTTGAGGATGGTGTCTTATTCTTATGTCTCCACCTCGCAATTAATTTGTTGGTGAGAAAGAGAGGGGGTAATAATTTAGGACTCTCTCTAGAAGGAGAGTGGCTTTCCCCCACAACAAGGCTTTGAGTGTATAGTAATGGGAGAGAAACTATTAATCATCAATTATATTGAGGGTAGAGCCAGGAAGACGCTATTGTCCATGTCTTGGTGTATAAGGGGAAAATGTCATTTGTATTGATTTTACAAAGCTCATAATTGAAATTCGTTAAGGGTTTGTGTGGCTTTTTCCCCCCCCTGGGGAGGGGATATGTGCAGGGAGTAGGGCCACATTGGTGCCCTGGGCCTGGGGTGGCCTGGCCAGCAGTGCTTGGGGTTCAGGGGTCAGAGGGGCAGGAGGCTGGGGAAGCTGCAGATGGAGTGGCTTTCGCAGTATTGTGTCTCTTCACATCGTCATTATCATATTATCTTTTTAACTCTGGAGGGGGGCTAATTAAGTGAAGTAAATGAAATCAGTGGGGAGGAGAAGGGGGGCATAACAGGCAGGAGGGGAGCAAGAGTGAGCTGGCGCGTGTCCTTCCCTCACCTTCTCCTCTTGGGGCCTGACTGCTCCAGCGAGCCCACTGGCTCCTCCCCTCGCAGCCCTGCCTGGGCCCGCCCTGGCATCTCCACCTTCTCCTGTGTTGCCTCCTTCCTCCTCTCTGCCTTTGACCCCTGCTGACCTCTTGCTTCTCTCTCACCGCCTCCTTCCCATCTCCCTCATTGCCTGCTTTAGCCTCCCACTTTCCCCTTTTCTTTACACTCCTCTCTCTTTCTCTCACCCCCTCCTCCTCATCACATCCTTCTTGCTCCTCCCCTTTCTGGCCTAGAAGAAACAGGAGCTTCCCACCCACTTACCTACTTGTTCACCCACCTGTCCAGCTCTCCATTCCAGACCCCAAAGGGAAGTGACTTGAAGCCTTTGAAGTAAAGGGTTTACAATCCCAGAGGCCTGGGACTGACAGTCTAGATGTCCATCCTGATCTTCAGGCTGGGGCCTGAAAGACAACAGGAGCATGGAGGATGGCCAGAGTCCCATCCTGACTGCCTCCCATCACCACGGCAACTGCCTCAGTCCATAGCCCTGGTACCCATGAGGGGAGCGCTTTGGCTCCAGCCAGTCTCTCTCCCCTTGACCTTTCCAAATCCCTTCTTCTGGAAACGACTTTCCAAAAGCACCAGAGACTCTTGGAAAAATTGAGGAGGGGGAGAGGGCTGAAGGTGGGCACACACAGGGCTGGTCTGTGTGCCTAACCTCCCTCCAAGTTGTCAGAACCCACTCAATTCTGCCAAGCGGCTCAACCCCAGCTAAACCGGCAGCCTGAGGAACAGAGGAGAACTTAAGCTGCAGCAGCTGTTCTGATCGCTGCTTCTCCCTCCTTGGTCCACTAGCCCACCTCCCACCCCCGCCCAGCCACCCCAGCTACTCGTCCTGCTCCCCACCTCCCACTTTGCTGGCAGTAATTATGGTGTGATTGAAGCAGCTCCACTGAGAACTGCTGACACCTCTGTCTTTTTCCTGTAAACACGGGGAGATGAAAATAGACACTTGGAGCCGCTGTGCGTGTCACTCTGAAGATGTCTGTTGTCTCTTCCGCGGCGACACGGAGCCTCAGCTGTCATTTCCCCCTTCTTTCTGCACAGTGGTTTGTATGCCGACTGTCAAAAGCCCCAAATCCATAGTCTTTTAGCATCAGGTTTCTGTCACTGATTTTTTTTAAAGTCATTTTTTCCCCAGAAGAAATATACAGAAATCATCTGTACCCCCTGCCCCTGTGGAGAGGAGAGAGATCTTTAAAATGCTCTCACACACACACACACACACACACAGAACGCAAACCCAAAAAACAGCTTTTGATCGGTCCCAATTAACTTTAACACCTTCCACAAAAAGGAGTGGGACTATTAATTGGGCTGGCATGCTTTCTGGATGCTGGCTTATCTTACCCATGACCCTTCCTGAGGCAGCTGGGAGGGATGACAACCAGGGGGCTGCTTCTGTGGGCTCCGGAGGAGGCTCTCTCCGCTCCCCATGTTGGCCTCACTTTCCTGGGGATGGCTGTGATAATAAGCAGTTGCAGAAAGACCTTGGGTAAGTCATGCCCTTTCCTCCCTGGATAATATAACCTCTCTCCAATTCTGCCCACTGCTTGCTTCTTCCCTCAGGACTGTTGAGAGATGATGTTGCAGTCCTGACCTAAAGTGTGTTAGATCCTAAGCCATCAGTGTCTATGCTGCCTGGGAGAGACAGTGGACCCCCATAGTCACCTTCTAGGCAAGTTAGAATGGAAGCAAAGCATAGCTTGGCTGGGTATCAAATAAGGGGCTGAGAAACCCCAAGATCACACAGCAAAGGCAAGCCGGCCCCCGCCTAAAAGGATGCAGGTGCTGTAGGATGGATGTCTAGCTCCAGCCCCAACCCTGTAAATACAGCTTGGCCCCAACGCCACAGATGGTCCAGAGAAACCGGTCCCCCCGGTAACTAAAAGGAAAAGGGCTCTTGCGGGTGGCCTGGATAGCATTGTTGAAACCACCTGTGGCCCAAATGGAACTCTGGTGGCAAAATAGTTAAGAGCTTGGCTGCTAAAGGAAAGGTTGGGAGTTTGAACCACTAGCCACTCTGTGGGACAAAGATGTGATAGGGTTCTTTCATGAAGATTTGTAGCTCTGCTTACCTAATGGGTGAGAATCACCCTGCTAACCCAAAGGCAGGTGGTTCGAATCCATTAGCTACTATATGAGAGAACGATTTACTGTCTCTGAAAACCAGCTGGAGAGTTGGCTGTGAGTCAGTAAAGATTTACTGCCCCGAAAACCTGAGAAGACAGTTCAGCTCTGTCCTGCAGGGTCACTCTGGGTGGGAATTGACTCAACAGCAACAGATTTGGTTTTGAGTTTCTGATGTTTGGGGTTGGGTTTGTTTTGGGATTTTTTTTTCTCCCACTATGGCAAAATATATTAAAAGACTGGATTCAGGCACAAAAAAAATATTGCATTCTTCATGTGTACCAGCATGAGAATACCAACAGACTTCTGTCAGTATTTGGCTTTTGGAAATTCTTGGGAAATTATCTTCTTGGTGATAACATTTCTAAGACAGCTGACATTTTGGAGATGGCTGTTTCCAGGCATTCTGCACACCTCTGACTTTGTAAAATTCTCAGTGGCTGGGAACATCAGGAGCACGGTGATTTGTGGGAACCCCCTTGCCCCCGCACAGTGACCTTGACTCATGGTCAGGGTCTCATGTCTGCTTTTCAGGGGTTTTCTCTTTCCTCCTGTTCCCAGGAGTCAGCATCTGCCAGGCTCTATTTTCAGCAAGCAGCCTGACTGTTCCCTTCTGACTTGTGCCTTGGGTCATTCTGTAGGAATAGCTTGAGTATAGTCCTTTAAGTGTTGAATTGCTTACTCAAAGCCCACGCCTCTCTGGTAATTTTAATCTACCAGTGGATCCACAGGAGAAAGATGGGCAGTCTCCTCCTGTGTGATTTACAGCCTCAGAAAACTTGCTGGAGGCTCAGCTCTCAGTCTGTTCCAATTTGACAGCAATGGAGGGGGAAGGGGAATGGATAGTGGTGCAATTTTGACCAGTATTCTCAAGGGAAGGCTGAGGGTTGGTAAAGTCTGAGGTGCTCTCCAGGGAGTTAGGGTTTAGGCAGAAACTTAAGGACACTGGTATTCTGCTGTTGGGAAGCCCATTTTCTGTTCAAAGATCCCCACTTGGTTCCAAACAGTAGAGATGGCTCAAAGTTGTAACCCACACAAGTGATGTGGGGGGCAGTTTAATCACATCAGCACCTGGTCTGGGCTGTAGGAGACTTTACACACATATGGCCCCTAAAACTAGGATATTTGAGGTTAACAGATGAAAACCAAGCCCCCAAGAGGGTCTCTTTCCTCAGAAAACCTTGAGGACACGGTAAGAACTCGGGCTTCTCTTCCACCACCTCAGACTTGCATGTATCTTTTTGAGCTTTGGTCAGAATCTAGTCATTTCTGCTAATGACCCTGAAAAACAATCTGTAGCAACAGTAGTAAAGGTACTTGCTGACCCTGTCTGTATCTATACATGACTAAGTGACCTTGACCAGGGCTATACCCTTTCTAGGCCTCAGTTTTCACATCTATAAAATGGTGTGATGTACCAAATCAATGAGCTCAGAACTGCTCAGTAGAGCCCCTGTTTCCCTGGCCTAGTCTTGGCTTCTCCTAAGTCTACTGAAATAGTGTCTTTTCAGATAAAAGTTAGGGGAATACTAGCCAGGTTTCCAGAAGGCCCTTCCTGCAAGCTTTGAAATTTCTGTTGATGCTCAGATTTAAAGATTGATGACTGAAGTTCTCTCAGGAGGAAACTTCTAGGTGAGTTACATCAAGAAATTCTTAGATGAACTTTGCAATATCTCCTTTGGCCTCCAGAGTTGAGGTGATCTTGCTCTTGTTTCTGTGAAAAGCAGCTGGTACCCAAGAACCAGTCTGGATGACTGAAAGTGCACCCCTCTCATTCTTTGCACGCATGACATCACAGCACTGAGTGAGTGGGAGGTGGACAGGTATGCCCAAGGCTGGGATTAGAGGAAGTCTAGAGTCTTGTGATCTTGAGCAAGTCTACTTCTTGGTACCTCTCTGACTGGGCCTTCCTCTCAGCACAGTGGTCATCCCAGGACCAGGGGCCTCCGTGCCACTTTGAAGTTCTGCTTGATGGTCTCAGCAGGTTGTTTTGCAAATGAAGAGCCAGGCCTTAGGGGAGGGGACCCAAGCAAGCGCATGTCCAAGTCTCTGTGTTTGGACTCCCACTATCAGTTGACTCACTGGGCAGGAGATAGCACTAGCCAGGAACTTGGGAACCTAGATCCCATTCCCAGCTCCATCTGGAGCCAAACCCTTCTCCTGGCAGACTCAGTTTCCCCATCTATACAATGGAGCCTCTATAAGTGATTGCTTGATTGCTTAAGCCAACCACCACTGACCCAATCAGATTTCTCTGGAGTCCTCTATGGAGGTGCCCCCAGTGGAAGCTGGCATCCATGTGCACATATGTGCATGAATGTTCATGTGTGTGTACAGCTGTTCCCCTCCCCTGGCTCCCTGGTGGAAGGCAGGAAAGGGATATTTGGGGCCCTGGGTTCCACCATAGTTGGTTTAATTACAGGTTTTCAGCTGTGGGCCGGTGGGCACACATTGGAAAGGAGGGGGAAACTGTTCCCAAACCCTGTCATTTTCCAACGTCTGAGGGCCTCTTCAAAGGGGGGCATCTAGACATTTTCTCCACAAGCTGCAGAGTGGACTGTCGTGGCCCCAGCATGAACATAATGACAGATGCATTTTGCAGCAAGCTGGGAGTGAATGGGTCCAACCGGCTTGTCTCCTGTCAGACAAGTCATTATTTTTTTTTTTTGTCATTTGCTGACAGTTTGGGTTTCATACGTTTCTCTTTTTTTTTTTCTCCTTTTCCCCCTGCCTGGAAAAATGGGTAGGTATCTACGAGACCCCAGCAGGCACGATCCTTTACCATGCTCATTTAGACATCGAGGCCTTCACGATGGATCGGGAAGTGCGCAAAATCAAACAAGGCCTGGGCTTGAAATTCGCTGAGCTGGTGTACACTGGTACGTAAATCTTTGCAGCTGCCCACGTAGGTTCCCCAGCCTCCTCCTTTCTGGTTCTCTGTCTCCTTTTCCTCCCTAAAGAAACCCTCCTTCACATCCTATGCCTCCCATTGCATTCCTCCTAGAAAACCAGAGACTCAGGTTGAATGAGGTCGAGGGCCAGGGTGAGCTGGGAGATGACATCAGGACATCCCCTGTTTTTGGAGTGTCCTTCCCAAATCCCAGATGCCCCTACCTGGCATCTGCAGGCTCCAGTGGGGCCCAGGAAACATCAAGGTGTAGTTACAACAGCAGCCAACTTGTGTCAGCACGTGATGGATACCGGGTACTGTGTGGCCAATATCCTCCCACTTTTTCTAGGAGATCCACTCCTCATTTTACAGAGGAAGCTGAGGCTCAGATGCCAAAGTAGCTCAGACAATATGACCCAACCAGAAGGGTCCGGGTCAAAGTCTCCCTTAGCAGAGAATTCAGACCCAAACTCGAGCATTGTTTGAGTCAAAGCTTGACTGCAGACCACAGGGCAGACGGGGGCCTGAGCCCCACCACTTACCCAGCTGCATGTGGAATGATCAATGGACTGTAATTTCGTCTGAACTCCTCTCTCCCCTGTGGGTGTGAATCCGCATTTTCCGGCTGAGGTGGCTTGATGTCATAAAGTTTGGATCCAGCGCCCTGACTCCACCTTTATCCTCTAGGGCAGCGTAACAGGAATTGGCAAGCTCTGGTCCCTGGGCCAAGCCTATAATGGTTTTTCTTTAGCCCTTGAGCCAAGAATAGCTTTTATGTCTTTAAACAATTGGGTGTGAAAGAAGGGGGAGTCGGAAGAAGTATATCTGTGACATGTGGAAAAACTATATGACATGCAAATTTCATGTCCATAAGTGGTCTTATTGGAACATGACCATGAACGTGTATTTGTCTGTTGGCTGGCTGGATTCACATACTGAAGGCAGAGGTGAGTGACCCACAGAGCCTAAAACACTTACTCTCTTGCCTTTCTAGAAGTAGTTGGCTCGCCACTGCTCGGTAACACTCAGGTGCTGCTCATTGGGAAAATCACCAGCCCCTTGGAGCTCTTATAGGGACTGCTATGGGAGGCCGACCTTAGGCTCAAATGTAATGTGAATGCAAAGTTAATATTCCTAACAACTACCTGGGATGAGCCTTCTCTCCGCGCCTTTCCAGTCCCCCCTCCTCTCTGAGGTTTTGTTTCCTTTTAAACCTCCTAATCACTGTAACTCATCTTGGGATTTAGAGGGCTCAGTGGTTATTGGCTGGCCTTATTTCTCCCTCCCATTGTTCCCCGGCAGCTTGGAAGTGAAGCCCCCCTCTCCAGGTACAGGCAGGTGTTTAAATACCATTGTCTCCTGCGGGCTCTCTGGCTCGGCAGGATTTAAACGTTCAATGGTGGATTTTGGTTACAAAGTAGGAGAGTCATTACAAGTGGCAGGACCCGGTGGAGGTGAGCACCTGGTTGGGCACTGGGGAGGCGTGGGGGTAGGAGGGGGGATTGTGGCGAGCAGGAGTGGGCAGGCCACTGACTGTGCACTCTGACTAGCTGCCAGGCTCTGAGTAGGACCCTGGACAAGTATTGCCTAATCTCAGCTGCACAGAGGCAAGAAAACCAAGACCCAGAGGGGTTGAGGACCCTTGTCCAAGGTTTCACAGCTTCGAGCCCCCAGGATAGACTGGCCTGAGAGGCTGACTTCTCAGCCAACACAGTAAAGCTCAGATGGATGGGAGGACCATGTGAGCCATTAGAAAGGGCTGATCAAGGCCCATGATAGGAAAAGGAGGCCCTGCTGTTGAGTCGAGCATGGCTCAGCTGTGGACACCATGCCCTCTGTACCCAACTGCCTAGGCTTGTGTCTCTTGTCAATCAGTGAACCCTCTAAAGCCCAAAATGAGTCACTGTAATTCGGATATTGGGGAAAAAATAAAACAAAATCGTGGGTTGGAGAGGTAGGTTGGGCTTGGCTTGTTCTTAGTAGAGTTACTGAGAATAACCTTACAGAACAGTCTCCCTGCTGTCCAGGCCTCTGCAGTTGGTAAAAATGGCTCAGAGGGGCTGTTGATATGATTTCTCAAATTAGTAATGCATGAACATTATAAGGCAGTTGTTCACTTGAGCAAGTTACTAACATCCCTTGCCTCAGTTTTCTCATCTGAAAAAATGGGGATAGTGACTCTTCCTATCTCATAAACAGGAATGAAATGCCTAATGCATTTAATGTGCAAACAGTGTCTGGCACATGTAGGCAATGTCTGTGTCTGTGTTAAATCTACTTAAATCCTGGCATGGGGCAGGGCTCTGGCTCTTTGTTTATCACGCTCAGGTCTGTCACTTCTCGTTGCCTCAGTTTCCCCTGTGTAAAAAGGTGCATCAAGTCTAGTAGTACTGAAGTCTCTTCTCAGTCCTTCCTAGCTCCATGGGTGGAGCTCACTTCTCTGCTGTGACACTAAGTTCCTTCATAACCCCTGTGATCCTCTGGCACAGATAGGGAAACTGAAGCATGGAGCAGCACCCCCCTCCCTTTCTCTAGGTGCCCTGGCTTCTGATCTCAGCCCACATGCATTGCATCCCTACATCTGTGTGTTCAGGATCCATACAGAACCCCTCCCTCCAGGAATATTTTAAGGACCCTCACCCCAGCCCACAAAGTCAGCCTTGAGGACTCGGGCTTCAGAGAAACAGAATTCCTGCTGGGGCGCCAGGGAGCATCTCATTTCACAAGGTGTAACTCACCTCCTCATCCCTTGCCTCAGTTTCTTCAATGTAAAATAGGGGAAATGCACAACTCTCTGCAGAGTTGGATTGTTCTCCAAAGTGGAAGGATCATCCACATAGAGTGCTGGGCCCGGGGTCTAGAAGCTTGGGGTGGGAACCTATCTCTGACTTCACTAGGCCTTCTACTTCCCAAGGCTCATCCACAAACCTGGGACACACAGTCTTCTTCTCAACCCCCTCTCCCCATAGAGCTCCAGGCTTATTGCCTCTTGCCCCAGGATAGGTCCACAGGGAAGAAACCTGAGCAGGAGACTCCGGAGGGGGGAGATTCTGCCCAGGCCAGAAGGCTGTCCCGGGGATCCCTCCCCTCCTGTCTCCGCTCTCATCTCCAGCCTGACTTCCAACCTGGAAACTTAATGGGCTAATTATCCCAACTTAGAAAGATGGCATGGCCTAGGACACTAGGACTTCAGTGCTCCCTCCCTCGCATGGTATATGGGAAACCCCTGAGCTAGAGTTCCCAGGCTCAGCCGCCTTTGGGTAGACTCTGTGGCTACTTAATTTCAGAAGTAGATTGCCAGGCTTTTCTTCTGAGGTTCTTCTGGGATGAACTCAAACTTCTAACATTCTAATTAGTACCAAATGCAGTAGCTGTTTGCACTGCCCAGAGGCCTTATGTGAGATTCTCACTCTCTGACTTTAAATGGGCTGTTTCCCCTCTCTGGGCCTTTGTACTTGTGCTAACGGCTCATGTAGGTGATTTGTTGATGTTACAAGTGTAAAATGTTTTGTCACTACTTGCCTTCTCACAGAATCCATACAAGAAGCTGGATGAGGGTCAATAGTAGTGTCTCATTGTGTAAGAACACATTATGTAAGAGGCACCATGAGATTGTGTTGCTTGTCAGAGAGGAGCTGAGATGTCAACTGAATGAGGAAGACCCAACCCTTTCTCTTCCCGCTCACCCTTATCCATAAGCAGTGGACCCCACACCAGAGCAGGTCTGCTCCCCTTTCCCGCCAAAAGCCTCAGCAAGTGCCCCCGGAGGCCTGGGCTGCCAACAATAGATGTAGACCTTAGGCTGACCCAGCCCTTTATCAGGGCAGGAGATCTTGAGCCATCTGGCCCCACAGCTGCCCAGGTGGGCTCACCTTCCCAGCTCTGTTTCAGAGAAACCTTATGCCCGCCTGTTCTGTCCCTCCCCCAGCCTGACAGAGGCCCCTCTCTGCCTGCCTCTCAAACTTTGCCTCCATCAGTGAGACTAAAGGGAGGAGCAGGCCATGTGAAGACCTGACTGTGTCCCAAAGGTACAGGTCTCCAGCCTGGGGCCACCAGAAGGAACAGCCAGCCTTCTCTGACCTTTAGGGGTCTGAGGCCTGGGGACGGGATCTGGGTGCACAGTGAGGCATTTCTGCCTTGACGACATTCCAGTCCCAGAAAGGAAAGTTCTTAAATAATTATATGACGCTGAGTCATGACAGCATGGGCTGGCTGAGGTCAAATCTCCACATTGCTCTTAGCAACTTTGTGATTAGATTCCCCGCTCCCCCCCCCCTTCCCCAAACTTCATTTCCCCTCTTAGGAATCAAGGCAGAGACTTTTCTCATAGGGTTGTCTCATGAATACTCAAAGCCAATCCAGATAGAATTTTACTCAGTGCCTCTATAAGTGTAAAAACATTGCATGTACATATGCAAATAATATGTAGAGATTGTACCCTGATTTTTAAGGCTGATCATCTCAAGGGGGTGAGGCACTCCTTAGCTTTTTTTTTAATTATTATTTTATTATTTTGTGTGTGTGTGTGTACCATCAAATTGGATTTGACTGGTACAGGAGGAGATTGCCCCTCCTTCTCCAGCAGAGCATCTGGTGGATTTGAACCGCATACCTCTGGGATTGCAATGCAGCCTCTTGCCACTAGGCCACCAGAGCTCCCTCACTTCTTAGCTTTTCTTATCACCTGGACACCAATGTTAACAGCAGCCCCTGGCCCACACTCAGTGGGCAACAGGTGCTCCTTGTACCTTGTCCCCCCTGAACAAATGAGGAAATTAGATTAGCACACCCTTCGCTCAGTCCTAAAGACATCTGCTCACAGTGCTGTCTGAGATCTCCTCGTCTCCTGCCTCATACCTGCCTTCCAGTCAGGAACACAGCCGCCTGTAATACAGACACAGCAACTGCAGCAGTGGACCCCAGTGTGTCAGAGATGAGGATGACACAGGATAGGAGAGGATTCAGCTCTGTTGTTCATAGGTCACTATGAATTGTACCTGACGCAACAGCACATAAAACAACTAACATGGGCAAAGAATGAGTTCTCTTCACTCCTGTTTCTGCAGAGCCTGTCTGTGGCATTAAGCAGAAGGTTAGCTCCCCAACTCCTTACCCATAGAATCCCTTCAAAGCTACAGGACAGGTGGTTTCTTAACTCAACCATTTATAAGCTCATGCTGCATCAAAACATAGCAGTGACCAAAGCGGCCCAGCCTGTCCACCTACCACTCCTAGGTTCATGGAGAGGTCAAGACCAGGCTGTGACAACCGAGAGGGCAATGGCTTTCCTGATGGGGCGAGACATGGCATGTCTGCAACTGAGTTCCTCCCTGTGTCCTGGCCTTAGCACCTTCCCTCTTTCAGCCCTGCCACCTTCATTTCTCCACCTGCAGGTTTCTGGCACAGCCCTGAGTGTGAGTTTGTTCGCCATTGCATTGCCAAGTCACAGGAACGGGTAGAAGGAAAGGTGCAGGTGTCTGTCTTCAAGGGCCAGGTGTACATCCTCGGTCGGGAGTCCCCACTTTCCCTCTACAATGAGGAGCTGGTGAGGTAAGTGCCCATCACTTTCAGAAAGCATGACTCCATCCTGCCCTGCACTGGGCACCAGGCCTTCATGCCCATTGTCTCTTCTGTCAGGCTTCTCTCAATAAATGAGTACTTGTGGAGCATGAGAGGGATGACCATGAAGAGTATTCAGCGCTATTTATACTAGTGACACAAATAGGGAGCTTACAGGCTAGATGAGGAGAAAGGCATCAGCCAATTGATCATACATAGGTGGAATTAGAATATCTGACAATGTGCTGTATTGAAATACAGGATACTCTGGTTGGGTATAATAATTAATATACTCATATAATATAAATGGGGAGAAGGTAGTTATCTTTTAACTGATCTCTGAAAAATAAGAATTAGACAGGCAAGCTTTGGAAGAGCCTGGTACATCCCAGGCACTAGAGAAACATGGGAGCTAAGGGGCCCAGGGGAAATGATGTGGACCAGCTCTCAGAGGGTACTCAGCCATGGACAGACATGATCAGATCTGGGTTCTTAGTGGTCCTTCTGCTTGCTCTGGAGAATGGATTCAATACGGGGAAACTAGCAATGGTATCTTGTGGGAAATAATTTGAACCAAATTAATGCCTCCGGGAATAGGTAGAAGCTGAAAGATCTAACAAATGTTTAGAAAGTAGAGTCAAAAAGGCTTTGATTGGAGGGAGAGGAAACATGTCCAGAATTGCCTTAATTTTCAGTGGGAGTTGTTAGGTACTTGTTGAGTACCTCACTGTGTTGAGGAATGATCTTGAGAAAAATCATGCATTTAAATGTGGGCACCTTGATTATATCCCATTCCTCTGGTGGCCTAGTGACAAGAAACTGTGCTACAATCCTGAAGGCATGTGGTTTGAGGCAGCCAACTATGGGGAAAAGGATGGGCAATCTCCTCTGAAAAATACACCAGAGGGTCAGCTATGAGTCAATTCTGACTCTATGGTACACAACAGCAATAACAAACCTTGTGTATGAGCATCCTTTGAGACTGTTGCTGTTACAGAGTGCCATCAAGTCAACTATAACTCACAGCCGCCTTCCAGCAAACCCTTGGAGACTGCTAAGGAGAACTATGGCTGGCTGCTGGACACACGAGTTTGGAGTCAAGGAGCAATGAGACACTGGAGAATCATAATCATAGGCAGTTTTGGAAAGACCATTGGTGGGGAACAAGCAAGCGGGGGCTGATCTGAAGGTGGAACTTTGAGCTTCCTCATGGGTGGGCCAGGCAGAGAGTTACTGAGAAGTAAGAAAACCCTGGTGGTTGTGTTAGTTACTATTTTGCTGATTCCGACTCATGGTGACCTCAATATGACAGAACAAGATGTTGTTCCGTCCTGGGCGGTTTCCATGATTGCTGATACGTTTGAGTCCATGAAAACCCTATGGGTCAGAGGTAGTAGTTGAGTATGAGCTGCTGCTGTGTTTGGATCATGAATGAGAGAGTTGGCCTCTCAGGAGCCCCGAAGGCACCCCACCTGACACAGGTCCCGGGCTCAGCTTCGCTGAGGCCAAGCCTTGCTCTTCCCTCCAGAGGCCAGTTGAGAATTAAAGTACGAGTTTTGTTTGGCAGCCAATATTATTTTTCCTCTCCCTTCTCCTTGCCATGTTGAGTTTCTGCCCCCTTCAGTCTTTCTAAACACTTTATAAGCCATAAATATAACCGAATCAGTTTAGATCAGTCGGGGTAAATGTCAAATTATCTTCTCTCTTTCTCTCTCTGGCTCTTTCTTCCCTCCCCCTCCAAATCAACAGCCTCTAATAATCTGTCCAACCCTTCATTAAGCCTTACAGTCTCACTCAGGGAGATTAAATGAATAAAGTAAAAAGGGAAAGGAGAAAAAAAGAGAGAAAAGCAGGAGCATTTATTCTCACTGTGTCTCCGACCATTTCCCTTTTCTTTTTGATTTCTACATCACTGACTTGAAAGCCCTTGAGTGACAGCATCACAGGGACCAGCGAGGAAGCCGTGAGAGGTAGCAGAACTGGAAATGCCGCGGCACAGTAGGTAGAAAGTAACGTAATTATAGAGCAGGTCAGAGCCACTCGAATGAGCAAAAATAAAAGCACAGAGGTTTTCTGTAGACCGTCAGGGGAGGTAAAAAAAAAATCATTGTAAACTCTTTTCCACCTCCCCACCACCACCACCACCATCACCACCCCAGCCACAATTTCAAAAAGAGGTTGTTCAGTTCCTCAGAAACACCTCTTGGAAGTCTTCAGCAGCTATGAGAGACAAGCTTGTCCCTCTGTGCGGGCCCTGTTTGCAGGGGCGGCTGGGGCAGTGTGGAAGGACTGATTTGGGGGACTGGGATGGGAGATGTTGTTCTGACATATGAGAGATGGAGGTGAAGACAAATGCTTGGCTCAATTTGGTTCAGCTCATGGGTGTAAAAGGTAAAGAGAGAGGAAATATTTGCCCTGCCTTGTCATAGGGCTAAGTACAGGGACCCATCCAAAAGAGGAGGGTGGATTTAGAAAGGAGGAAGGCTAGATTTCGAAAGCATGTTCAACACCTTTTGTGTTAGGTAGTGCGGGTACTTTATTTCTTGTCCACAAGCAAGGTGTGAAAGGGGTTCAAGAAGGTGGACGTGTTTGGGCCCAGCTTCCTGAAACATTTGCTTTATGCCCAGGGAGGGCTGAGTGGCCGACATCCAAGAATTCTGACATCCTGTCCCCTTCCAGTGAGCTGGGAGGAACTTTGCTGGGAGCCTAGAAAGGCGGCTAGAAGAGTCAGTGCAGTAAAAGTGAGAAAGAGGGATGAGAACGTGGAGACTGTCATAGAGTCCAGTGCACCGTCACTAGACCTGATGAGGGAGCAGGCATGGCCTGTATCCTGGTGAAGTCTCTGGGCCAGACAGAAGCAGAGACCCAAGTGTCCACAAGTCACAGAAACAGCGGTCAGAGGTACAGCCTCCGGTGAGCCCTCTCCCTCTGCCCACCCCGGCCTCACCTCTCTAAAAAGCACTCTTGAGGGATGGGCCACTTCCTTGTCATTGAGAACCTTGAGACAGTTTTGTCCTGAGGCTGGAGGTTCTGTTTCTCCAGCCCTTTCAGCTGGGAAGACAAGGGGCTGATTCAGGACAGGACCTGAGGAGGGGCCTATGAGAATCAGACAGCTCAGAGGAGAGACCCACCCTTGATGCCTCAGAGGTGACATCATGGAGAGAGAGGCTGGGCACCTGAGGCCACATCTTCACTGGGCTCACCAGGTGCCATGGAGACAGCCCCATGTAGGTCAGAGTGGAGCTGTAGGCCATACCTGCTTCACTGGCTGATTTCTCAGCCTGTCACCAGGCCTTCCTTCCAAGGTGCCTCTGAGTGAACTCACACCTCTGATCTCCACTTAGCAGTCAAGCATGCTGACTGTTTGTTTGAACCACCCAACTCTGGTGTATTTCAGGAAGACTTAATGAGTGAGGGATGGCTTACATCTGCCTCCCCTGTGAGGACTTGACCTGTTTTGTTCCTGTATCCACAGCACTGGGCACAATGCCTGGCAGATTACTGTTGCCATTAGGTGCCATCGAGTCAGTTTCTATTCATAACCCCCATAACCCTGTACAACAAAGTAGAGCTTCCTCAGGCGATTTTCTTACCTGTGACCTCTTGAGAAGCAGATTGGTAGTTTGTTTTCCCACAGAACTGCTAGTACGTTCAAACCACCAACCTTTGGGTTAACAGCCAAATATTTAGCTGCTGCTCTACCAGGGCTCCTTGCCTAGTAGGCAGTTCTTGTTATGTGCCATCAAGTAAACTATAACTCAGTGACCCTATGGACAGTAGATCAAACCCCTGCTGGCATGTGGTGATGCTATGCTGTTGAGTTGTTGACTCATAGCTGACCCTCTAGCAGGTTTTCTGAGGCAGTAAATCACATGGAAAGAGATTGCCTATCTTTCTCCCCAGGAGCAGCTGGTGGATTTAAACTGTGTGCCTTGGGATTGCAAAGCAGCCACCAGAGTTCCTTACCAGCAGGGAGTATGTGCTTAGTAATTATCTGAATAAGCAAATGAGCAAATGGATGAACAATATTTTTTTAAATGAGCTTTGGTGTTGGAGAAGAGTATTGAATATACCATGGACTGCTAAGAAAACAAACAGGTTCATCCTGGAGAGGGTTAAACCAGGCTATTCCTTGGAGGCAAGGATTCTGAGTCTTTGTCTGACATACTTTGGACGTGTTGTAAGGAGAGACCAGTCCTTGGAGAAGGATGTCATGCTTGGGAGGGCAGAGGGACACTGCAGGAGGGGAAGGCTGGGGTAATCGGGATGGGTGTGTCGGAGACAGTGCGAATGGCACAGGACAGAGCAGAGTTTAGAGTACCTAGGGTCACTATGCGTGGAAGGAGGAGTGACATCCACTTTCATAATAGCTTGTCTCTGGAAATGCTATGAACCCAGAGAGAGGATGAAAGGCACCCAAGCGTCGAGGACTCTCCTTCATAGGTTGGCTATGAGTCGCCTGCGACTCGACAACAACAGGGTCGCTATGAGTCGCAAGCAACTTGGCGGCACATACAACAACAACAATAGAGCCCTTGCCTTCTGTCAGGAGCTAGCTACATTATTTCATATGGAACCAATAATAAACTATAGAAGCCAGCCATCACTGACTAGACCGATTCATAGATGAAGAGACCAAGGCTCCCGGGGTGAATGTGGTCCTGCGATAAGTGGTGGTGGACATAAGGTCTCATAGCTGTGGTTGAGAAAAGCTTGGAAGGGCAGAGATATGACAACAGCCCCAAAGATGAAGGTGGCTGGAAATAGTAAACTGTAGAGCAAAGAAATGTGTAGAGTTGAATAGAGCTGACATTGACCAGGCACTTTTCATGACAAGCTGTAAGGTACTGGGGTTCAGGGATGGACTAGACAGGATGTGACTGGTTGGGCAAAAGATGAAAGGAGACTTAGCAGCCAGATCCTGCTGTGAATACTGGAAGTTACAGCTTAAGAGAAGCTGTCCATAAGACCCAAGACCCTTGGACTCTGTTGCCTTCTGAGCATTGGTTGGGACCACTGGCCATAGTTGGCTGTTCCTAGATGCCCTTCTCTGAACTTCACCACAGTCCTGAACCTGGAGCTGGCTCAGATCTGGGTCCTCAGTTGACAGAATCTTGTGCTTCGTAGGAGGAATTCACCCAGCTAGATTTTTCCAGCTGATTCAGTCTGCTGAGCAAGTAATTAGAGAAGCTGGACTATGTGCAGAAGGCGGCAGCATCAAGATTGGACGAGGACCGTTAACAACCCATGATCTCCAGATGACATATCTTGTTTGCTAAAGAGAATTTGAAGCCCTTACTACTGAAGCCTTTATCATGGATTGCCCCTCAATAGAAAACAAAAATTCCCAAAACTGGACCAATAACAACATCATGATGAAAAGACAGAGGTTGTTCTTTTCCTTAGATCTACAGTCCACATCAACTAGACATTGAAAGTAGCAGTCAAGAAAGCAAACAACATATTGAATCAAGGAAATCTGCAAAAAGACCTTGAAAATGTTCTAAAGCAAAGATGCTATTTACTCAAACCATGGTGTTTTCAATCACCTCATTTGCATGTGAAAGTTAGACAATGAATAAGGAAAACTGAAAAAGAATTGGTGCATTTGGATGATGGTGTTGGTGAAGTGGGAACATTGAATAAATGACAAATCTGTCATAGAAGAAGTAGAGCTAGAAGGCTCCTCAGAAGTGAGCAGGGTGATACGTTTCCTCACATACTCTGGACATAATACCAGGAGGGGCCAGCCCTGGATTAAAAAGCAGAGGATCAGCTAGAGATGAGGAAGATCCCCAATCAGGCGAACTGACCCCTAATGAGATGGAGTACAACAATGGGCTTGCATGCAGCAACAGTTGTGAGGACGGCCCAGGCCCAGCCAGCGCCTCCTGTTGTGCATAGAGTCACCATGAGCTGGAACCCACTTGGCAGAGCCTGCCACAGTACTGGCTAATGCTGGGCAGTGGTGGTTCAAGGACAGAATGCTCACCTAGAGACCTAGGTTCGAGTCGGTGAGTGCATCTATGTGTGCGACCACCATCTGTCTGTCTGTAAGGACCTCTGTGTTGCTATGACACTAAAACACGTTTATTTCATTTCAGCAGTGTGTTCAGATTCAAACAGAAATGTCTGGTAATATACTTCTGTGAATCAGGCAGTGAAAACCGCCTCTGTAGTCTGATCACAGAGAACACAGACCAGGCAGCGTTTCATTCCTTTATATCTTGCGAGGTCTCCATGAGTCAAGTGCAGACTTGATGGCAGCTAACCACGAGTGCTGGCTGGGCTGGGGCCTGTTCTTCCAGCCGCCCTCAATTGTGTGACAGGAAAGAGGCGCAGGGACTTTGCTCTCTCCAGCCCTGCTATGGTGCTTGGTATGAGGAGGGGTTATCTGAACTGGACAGAAGTGGAAGTCAGAGAGCAAGGAGGGTCTAACCTAACACAGGGAGGGGAAGTACCCTGGGCCCTGGAGGTCCCACTAATGCAGAGAGCAAGGCCCCGGGCTGAGCTGACAGGTTTCTGCTCTTTTTGCAGCATGAACGTGCAGGGCGATTATGAACCAATTGATGCCACTGGCTTTATCAACATCAACTCCCTCAGGTGAGACCCTCACGGCCCTGGTGGGCCCTTGCAGCGCCAGGTGTGGGGAGCAGGCTCTAACCACTGCTCTGTCTAGCCCCTCCTTCCTGTCCATCACCCACAGCACCTTCAGGACCTACCCTCAAGCTTGGGGGGGCCAGAGGTGCTCACAGCAGCCATGGCGTTTGGCCCCAAGTCCCTGAATTTTCTCCTTTGCCTGTGATACCCTCTAGCCATAGGGACCCCTCTCCATAAATGAGGCCCCTTTCCTGGGCAGTTTAGAAATGCAGATCGCCAAATGTAGAAAGGAGCCCCAAGAAACCACCAGCTCCAGCTCCTGTATCATATCAGGATACAAGCTGGAAACTCTCCCAGCTGTGTGGCTCTCCAGAGCCTCGTGTGGGGTACACATTCTCGCAGGTTCAAATCTTGGCTGTGAAGTGTGCCCCTGACACATCTGAACATCACACAGTTCGGGTGTTGGCAGTACCTGCCCGAGTGCCCAGCAGCAAGTCCTCCAACTGGGCACAGCCGGCTCATGGCCGGCTTTTGCCGTAAATGGCACCCTTTTCTCTCTCCTGGATTGCCTCATTTCATCCTGACTCAAATCTGCAGCTGCAGAACCAAGCCCAGAGTGGTTGAGACAACTTACCTATGGTCACGCAGCTAAGATGTTAAGGTGCTGAGTCTTGAAAACCTGTTACACCAGCTCTGGGCTCTTAAGCACCCTCTCCTTTCGTACAGGATTTGCACTTGCTCTGCCCTGTCTATGCCCTGAGCACAGAGCCACCATTTCCTCCCAGAGTCAGTGCCTGCACCAGAAGCCACCAGTCTGGGAGACACAGACTCCTTCCAGGAAGGCCTGGGCACTCCCATCCTGTCACCTCCACCTCCCCCCCCCCTGCCCCTCTGTGTTTTTATGACTCTATAAACCCTTTTAAATGGCCCAGAACACACCGTGTTTTCATAATGGCCCCTTCATTTCTTCCATTGCCAGTTAACAGCTTTGTCTTCAACAATGACAGCCAATGTTTTCTCCCTACAATAAATTAATTACATTATCCTGATTGGAGGGCAGGAGGGGCCAGGGCAGCAGAGGGAAGAGAGAAAAAAGAAGAGGGGAATAAAAAGGCAACTTCACACACATCTTAACAAACAGCTGCCCCCTGCCTCCCCCATTCTGCCTGCATTAATTGAGCCTAGCGCATGTTGTTATTGTTCATTTACATTTTTCTTTGTTTTGAATCTGGTTTACAGGCTGAAGGAATATCATCGTCTCCAGAGCAAGGTCACCACCAAATAGACCAGCTTACAATGAGGAGCTGGGCCTCCTCACTCTGCCAGTTTCCCAAGTGCAGACGCTAATTGTTGTGATAATTTGTAATTGTGACTTGTTCTCCCCCGCTGGCAGCATCTTGGGGGCGCCAGACCCCAGCTTTGTTCCCTGTTCCCCCATAGCCTGCAAACTATGGTCAGCAAAAAAGGGAGAGTGGGTGTGTGGGGAACTACAGTGGGGAGCAGTAAAATGACAATTTTTAAAAAGATACATTTGTCTTTTGTTTCTTTATTCCTGCAGAGAGCAGAGTGAGTGTGCATTCATTTGTGTGCACTCCTGTGTAGTCAATCGGGCTTTTCGTATAACCTTTGTGATTTGAGTGCTGCCGAAGGCCACCTTTTGCCAGAGAGCCTATTTCATCAGAAAAAAGTCAGCCCCTTCCTCCTTTAGTGAAAACCAGAAATTCACAAGTGACCCCTGACTCAGACTCTAGCCCCTGCCATCTTGGGATTTTGTCACCAAGGAACCATGTTTTGGGAAGTGAGGTGTCCTGTCACCGGCCCTCGCTCTGGGTATTGCTTTTATTTTTTTTTTTTTGGGTATTGCTTTTATTATTATTATTCATTTTAATGAACATTTACAGAAATTTTGGATTTCCATTCATTCATTATTATCCATAGTCCACGCTGAGCTCTAAAATGAGGGGTCTGATCACATGATGTGTTCCACCACAGCCAGTGGCCTCATGCATCCTAAGTGATGGAGGAGGAAGACCCAAGAGTGCAGGGAGGAGAAATGAGCAAGACGCTGAATTCAGAGAACACTTTGGGGTTCTCGCCCTGCCTCAAGGGTTTCCCTGAATGGCCAATCCACAGCAAGGACCCAAGGCAGCCTGATTTCACTATGACCCCACTACGTTGGTCATACCTGTCATATCTGATTGACTGGTCACCTAACCTGAGCTGGGCCAATCAGAGTGCCACTCCCAGGGACTTGTGTTTTCATTTGTTTACTTTTTAATTACGACTTCAGCTACTCTTAGAACTGAGGACGAGTGTAAGCATGGTGCCTACAACACTCACTCATTTCCTTATGGAAATAAGATCTGAGTCATAGCTGACCCTCCAGTGGCTTTTCAGAGGCAATGAATCGCACAGGAGAAGATCGCCCACCTTTCACTCACAGAGCAACTGGTGGATTCAAACACCTACCTTTGGTTTGGCAGTGCTCAGGATAGAAAAGGGTTCAGAGCTATTGTACATAAGGTCACTCTGAGTCACAGTCAGCTCGATGGCACATACAGCAGCAGACTTGTTGCTAGACTTTTTAGTGGCTTTTCTAGCACTCACAGCATGCATCTTTAGTATATCACAATCTACCTGTGGTTATACTACTTAGAGTTGTGATGAAATAACCTAACACAACGAAGAATGTTTCACTTTGTCTCATTGTCACATATATTACTTTTACAAAACCACACTCTACATTACTGTTTCTCTGGATATATGACTTTTCTGCTTTCGTGTATTGATGTGATAGATTGCATAAGTTTATTTCCAAACATTGAAGTCAGCCTGGCATACCTGGAATAAAACCTCCTTGGCCATGATACATATCATTCCTTTTATGCATTATTAATTTAATTTGCATTATTTTATTGGTGGTCTTTGTATCTTTGTCCATGAGAGATCTTGATCTGTAGTTTTCCTTTCTTTAATTGCCTTTGCCTCGTTTGGTATTAGAGTAATACCAGCCTCACAGAATAAATTGTTCCTTCTGGTTGAATTTTGGAACCAAAAGCAGAGAATTGACATCATTTCTTCCTTAAATACTTGGTAGAATTCACCAATTAAACCATCTTAACCTTGTGCTTTATGTTTTGAAAGATTATGTTCTTGGTCCCATTTCATTAATAGGTATAACTCTGTTCAGGTCACTAACTTCTCTCTTTGTGTGGGTTTTGATAGATTGTATCTTTTAATGAATTGGTCCACACCTAAGTTATGCAATTTGTGGTTATAAAATTGTACATAATATTCCATTATTTTGCTATCTATAGTATCAGAAGTGATGGCTCCCTATTCATTTATGATTTTTGCTTGTATTTGTATCTTCATTCTTTTCTTGGTTATCATGGCAAGATGTTTATCAATTTATTGATCTTGTGCATTAAAAGAACTGGCTTTTGGGTTTATTGATTCTCTACCTGAGAAAGCCAGGATCTGTGTAAGGAGGAAACCTGCCACAGAAAGAAAATACAAATATTTTTCATTAATAAGGAGTTCTGGTGACCTACTGGTAAGAAGCTGTGCTGTAATCCCAAAGGCACGGGATTCAAATCCACCAGCTGCTCAGCGGGAGAAGGATGATCAGTCTCCTCCTACACAAGGAGGTCAGCCATAAGTTAGTTCCAACTTGAAGATGTCACATCACCACAACTACGATTCTCCTGTTCTTATTTTCACTGATTCCAGCTCTGATTTCCCCTCCCCTCCCTTTGGCCTTCTTTCGATTTAATTCCTTCTCCTTTTTCTATTCCTGAAGTAGGAGGTTAGATATTGATTTTACATCTCTTATTTTTTAACACTGAGAGACCCACGAGAGCATTGGCAGGACTGCCTTGTTTTTCCAAGTCTTACAAGTTTTCCACATTTGACAGGATGCAGCCAACCTCCACTCTGTATTGATGCTGTTACATGTTGAGTCAGAACCGGCTCATGGCTGACCCTCTAGTGGGTGTTCAGAGGCTTTAAATGGCATGAGAGGAGACTGCTCATCTTTCTCCTACTGAGCAGCTGGTGGATTCGAACTGCCTGCTTTTATATTGGCTGCACAGGTCCTTACCCACTAGCCCACCAGCGCTCCCTATTAATGAAAACGATTTGTATTTTCTTTCTGTAAGAGGTTTCCTCTACGGAGACTCCAAGTTTCTTTGGTTTTACTGTTTATACATCCCCTGCAACAGATTCCCTTGTAAGCACTACTTTTATTGAATTCCAGAACTCTTTATAAGTTCTGTTTTCATTTAGTTCAAGATATAGTTCAAATTCTTTTTTAGGCTTTTTTTTTACCTGTGTGCTGTTTAGAAGTATACATTTTCATTTCCAAATATGTTGGGATTTTCCAGCTGTTTGTTATTGATGTCCAGTTTCATTCCATTATCGTCTGAAGTGTGAAGCTACTTTACATTTCTTGTGTGTTAAAGTATTTCTTTTTTAAAATTTTTTAAGATTTTATTATTATTAACGTTAATGAAAATTTACAGAAACTTTGGATTTCCATTCATTCATTGTTGCACTTTTCTCCCTGTCCACTCCTCCCCCACTTCGCTCTTCTCTTTGAAAAGTAAAAGAAAAATTCTTTCTTGTTTTACAATCCCTCCCCCCAGGGCCACTCCACTATGCAGCCTTCGTTTTGAACTCCTGTCATGACAATAATACCTAATCACATATCTCTTTAAAACAGTTTTCTAAAATTTTATTTTATTATTTTTTTTGTGTGTGTACCATTAAATTGGATCTTCCTGGTACAGGAGGAGACTGCCCCTCCTTCTCCAGTAGAGCATTTGGTGGATTTGAACCGCATTCCTCTGAGATTGCAGTGCAGCTTCTTGCCAGTAGGCCACCAGAGCGCCGCTTTTAAACAGTTTTATAGCCAAGAATGTAGCCTCACTTGGTGAATGTTCCTTATGAGCTTGAGACTATGTGTGGATGAAAAATTCTTGGATGAAAAAATTCTCTCACTCACATAAATAGGTAAATAAAGGAGAAAAGTATGAAAAAATAGAGGGAGGAAAAATCTTTACAAGAGGCTATCTATCTTTCTCCAGTAGTGCAACTGGTGCATTTGAACTGCTGATCTTTTGCTTAGAAGCTAATGTGTTATGCACTATCCTACCAGGGAACTATTAAAGCTAGTTCATTGATTAACTAGCTGTTCAGTTCTGTTCTTTATTGATTTTCTTTCCTTTTTGAGGTGGTGCTTATCCAAACAGAAGTTTATTTTCTCATCATTCAAGAGGCTAGAAGTCAGAAATCAGAGCGTAGGCTCTAAGGGGAGGGCCTCTCGGCTGGATCTGGAGGAAGTTCCTCATCTCTTCTGCTCCTGGAGGATGCCAGCTGCATCTGCCAGTTACTGATGGAGCATGTGAAAGTCCGCTACTCTAATGGTGGATTTGTCTATTTCTCATGGTAATTGTTGAATTTTGCTTTTCATTTTCATGGGGGTTAATTTGAGTGACATTTAAAAATGATTCTGGGTTTTCACTCAATCATTCATACACATTTTGTTTTATAACATTAATTGCAATTGGTCCCTTATTGTTACCTGACTTACCTGTTAATTAACCAACTGATTCATGTCTCGTTAATCTCTGGTTACCTGACTTAACTGTACTCCCCTCTGCCTCCTTTTTTGTCCTTGTTAATCATCATTGTTGCTGTATTTTGTCTTTGTTATGTGCCATCAAGTTGTTTGCAACTCATAACAACCCTGTGTATAACAGCCATAAACTCTGCTCTATCCTGTGCCAACCTTATTGTCTCTGACACATCTATCCCCATTACCCCAGTCACTGAATCAAACCATCTCATCCAGTGTCTTCCTCTCTTGTGCTGTCCCTCAACCCTCCCAAGCATGATTTCTCTCCAAGGACTGGTCACTCCTTGAAACATGTCCAAAATATGTCAGACAAAGCATCAGAATCCTTGCCTCCAAGGAGGAGCCTGATTTCACCCTCTCCAGGATGAATCTGTTTGTTTTCCTGGCTGTCCATGGTATATTCAATATTCTTCTCCAGCACTGCAGTTCAAAAGCATCAATTCTCCTTCTATTATCCCTAGTCATTATCCAACTTTCTGACACATAGTAAGTAATAGCAAAGATTATGGCCTAGATCAGGCACACCTTAGTGTTCAGACTGATATCATTGTTCTTCAGAAATCTGAGATGTCCCTGACAGCAGACTTTTCTAATGAAATTTGTCTTTTGATTTCCTGGCTGCTGGTATCAAGAATGTTGATTGTGGAGCCAAGCAAACTAAAGTTGTTAACAATCTCAATCTCTTCACTATCCATCTTGATGCTGCCAATCGGTCCAGTGGTGAAATCTTTATTTTCTTGATATTGAGCTTCAATCCATATTGAAGGTTGCAGTCCTTGACCTTTGTAGCAAGCGCTTCAGGTCCTCAGTTTCAGCAAACAGAGTTTTATCACCTGCATAATGCAGATTGTTGATGAGTCTACCTCCAATCCTAATGCCACATTCCTCCTCTTAAAGCCCAACCTCCC